AGCGCGTCCGCCTCTCGCGCGGGGCCAAGGGAGCGGTCGGCCACGCACTCGGAGGCCAGCGCAGAGACGCGCTTCATCGCGACGTTGGTGGCCATCCCGAAGCAGGCCGACGCGAGAGCAGTACAGAGGGTGGTGGCGGCGGAGCCGCGGCGCCAAATGCGCGACTCGAACGCGGAGCCGCAGCGGAGCGCAAGCCAGGCGCTGCCGAAGCTGAGGGCGGCGCACACCAGCGAGAGGGCGGCGGGTGAGAGGGAGGGGTCGGAGGCGGCGCGGCCGTCGCCGCGCGGCCCAAAGGACGAGACGCAGGCGAGCCCCGCGACGACGAGGAGCGTGCCGGCCGCTCCTCGCCGGCTCGGAAGCTGCCGCTCGGTGATCACGCCGGCTGCGGAGAGGAGGGTGGTGAAGACGATGGTCATACCGGCGAAAGGAGCGATGATGGAGAGCGGGACGATCCCATAGACCACCACGTCCACGGCCGCCGCGTTCACCACCAGGAGGAGGAGTCCGATGCCAAACCGCCACCTTTGCCACGGCTTGAGTGTGTGCTCGTAAGCGACGGACGACTGCTTCATGAAGAGCATCCCAGCGGCGGACATGAGGCAGCCCAACATGATGAGGCAGATGCCAAGCGTGTGCTGGTCGGTGACCATGTCTGTTTGAGATCTAACTGTGTCTAGATGGTGCGCGTCGGGCTCGTTGAATGAAGTGACCGTCAAGAAAAAGAATTTAAAAGTATTCCCGTATCACGTATCACTAGCTCCGAGAAGAGGGGGCGTCCTTGCAGTTAAGGGGAAACCTGGTACGCGGGTCCAACCCTCGGAGAGTATTCTTTAGCTCCGATTAGAGGGGGTGCGGTCTGCTGCTAGGGAGGGCCAAGGAAGCGCGAGGGAAAAATTCCGCCGCTGAGGGAAACCCGGAGCGCTGCCGTACGCCCTCGGAGACCCGTGTTATGGCCCTGCGACCGCGCACCCCCCCACGGTCGAGGAAGAGGGGGCGTCCTGCAGTTAAGGGGAAACCCGGTACGCGGGGCCAACCCTCGGAGACCCGTGTTTACTTTAAGGCCCTTGCCCTGCGAACGCGCACCCCCCAGGGCTAGGGCTCTCTTGCCCGCAACCCGATGCCAATCATCCGGCCCGCTGGGTGCGCTTCTGAACTCCCCGGCCCTGGATGTGCGATTGATGACTGCACTCCAAGTGCTCCAAAAGCTCACTGCATACAGGCTCGACACAGGTGCGAACTGGCGCGTGCTAGAAAAAGAACCTGCCGTACCAGCTCTCGGGCTGCTGCAACGGCAGTTGCCGCAAAGATCTCGCACCGAATGTGGACCCTGCCTTTCGCCGCCGCTACTTCCGACGTCGCCGCTCGACACGACCGGAGCTGTACGCGATGAACACGCGACGATCGACACGCCCTCTCTGCCTTGTGTGGCGATTACCACGTCGTGGGGGAGTGTTGGGCATCTGTTCGACGTGGCAATGCCACTCTACCTCATTGCTGTCTCTTCCTCGTCTCGCCTCCTCGCGCTAGCCCGTCCCGCTGTCGAACGCCTCTGGCAAGAAGTCCAATGCGCCTCTACGAGCGTCTCTGCCGTCTGGACGTCTGAGACTGAGCCTGCCATCTCCGACGCCTTCGCCATCGATGCACCCGTCCTCGGAACCTCCGTCCCCGAGGTCTTCGATGCACTCGACACCACCCTGCTTAAGATCGTCGACGAGTATTCCACTCCGACTGGCGACGATTTCTTGCTCTGGCATGCCCGCTTGGGCCACTTCAGCAGAGACAGGGTGGTTGGTGCACTCCGCTACAAAGGTTACGCTTTTCGCCCTGGCAGTGATCGTTGCATCTGCGACGCGTGTCTCCTCAATCGTCGCCGCAAGGGCCATCCGAGTCACCCAACCAACCGTCGCGTCTACACGTACTTTGGTGAGCGAGTCGCGTCCGACCTCAATGGCCCCATCAAGCTTCTGCCCTGGAGCGTTCACAAGTTCGTGTACGCCATCAACTTCGTCGATTACTTCTCCGGCGTCATCGCCGTCTACTTCCTGGAGAAGGGCGATTCCGCCGAAATCCTTGGCGCAATCCGTGCTTTCCTCCGTGACCATGCCGATGTCTCCTTCGACGAGCTCTCCTTCACCGACCTCGGCGGCCCGTGGCGCAACATCAACGTTTGGGGCATTGAAGATCGTCCTCACGTTCCTGATGCGCTCATCAACGTCAACGCGGCGAGGCCTCCCAACGGCCCAGTCGCCGTGCAGCAACGGGGCGCCCCCGCTGCCGCTCCCGCGCCCGCCGCTCCCGCCGCGCCCGCTCAAGCCGCCGCCCCGCGACGCTCAGCCCGGATTGCAGCTCGCGGCGCGCCATGACCGAGCTCCACAACGAGCTCCTGTTCATTATCTCCCCTTTCTCTCTCTCCGCCCACTCGGCCGCGCTTTGACCCCTTCACTGGATCATCTTAGCGCGCAAGACTTGCCAACAAGCAAGACCATCCTTCGCGAAGACGCAAGGTTGGACGCTTAGCCAGCCCCGCGAGACGCCGGCGGGTAACCGGCATACCTACGCTCAGACACATTCACACTCTGCTGTTGTTGTCTGCCGCATCCTCATTCATGAAGACTGCGGAGACAATGGGGGAGTGTTGGAGAGTGTGAACTCAAACCTACTTCCTGACCGTAGCCTGACCGTCCTTGTGTAACCGTGTCTCATGTGAGCACTATTTCAGCCAACGCCCGCAGCAAATCGGTGAAAACCTGCTCTGCGAGAGCGAGTTTTGTGGCTTGTTCCGGCTTCCATCGGTCGTCCCGTGACTCATCGCGCCGCCGCGTTGCACATTGGACACATGATCTCGCGCGTGGCGCTGACGGGGACTATTGTGCGCCTCGGCGAGGCGCTTCCGGTGGTATTTTTTCGAGCGCAGTGCCAGTGGACTTCATCTTGCCGGTCAACTGCCGGCGGTCGACAACTGCCGTTCGAGCAGCGTCGGGTACCGCCGCGCGCCGGCAAGATAAAAGATAAACTCACATGAAGCTGAGCCGCGGCAATTTTTTTTTTGACGGGAGGGGGAGGTGTCTTTCGCAGGTAAAACGCATTTTTTTCGTGGAGGGCTAGGCAGCTCTGGCCCCTTTCTCAGCTCATCGAGAAGATCTGCGTGTCGACGGGCCCGTCGCCGGCGCGCAGCGTGGCGGCGATGTCATACCCGCGCTCGTAGTTGCCGTTGCGCGAGAGCGAGAGCGTCCCCTCGACGCGCGCGCCCGCGGCGAGGGGCAGCGGCCGGCGCAAGTAGAGGACCGTCTGCTTCCAGTGTGTCGGCGGCGAGCCGGGCGACGTGCGGAAGCGGGAAGAGGTCCCTCCGTGCGCGGTGAGGTCAAAGTCGGTGTCAAAGTGGAGCACGAGGCTGCGCAACTCGCCTACCGACAGAATCGCGCAGCCGGGTAAGCAAGAGAGGTCTGAACCAGAGTGGGCCACCAAGCAGCGCGGCTCGCCGGCGGTGTGCGCGGTCAGCGCAAACGGAGCGGTGAAATCGAGGTCTGCGTCCGTCACAGTCAGCATCGCAAACGTTCGCAGCGTGGCCTCATCCGTGAGCACCTGCTCTCACACGCACGCAACGTGAACAGACGCCGTCTTACCAAGCACTAGCTCGGCAACACCTCGGCCGCACCCGGCTGCACCTCGGCCGCATCTCGGCTACATCTCGCCGTATCGTCGGGCACAATCTCGACCGCCGCCTCTGCGCGGATCGGCTCGGCGATCGGCGTGAAGGAGAAGCCTGCAGTGTGAATACACCCAGAGTGAGGGGTGTGAATACGGTCTCGTGCAGAGTCTTCAAGAGCACCGCGAGAAACGGGGCTACGAATACAACGAGCGCAGTACGGTCGATTACGGCTGCACACGTGCCCTCTCGAGCGCGAGTTGGAAGACAAGAAGGCGCATTCCGCTTCTAGGAGGGGACAAGCCGTACACGTCGTCGAAGAAGGCGAGTCGGTTGTGGCTCGACCCCACGAGCAGCAGCGAACACGCCGACGGCAGCACCGCACCGCCGGGCGCGAGGAAGCGGTCGCGCGCGTGGATGAGCGTGGGCAGCATCGACTCGTAGAGCAGCCCGTACCCCATCCACTCGCTCACGAGGAAGTCCACTCTCTCCAACGGCGCCGGCAGATCGAGCGCCTTAGAAGCAATTGACAAGCTTTTTTTTTCTGACAAGCTGGTCATCCCTCCCGAACAATGTCCACACGCTCCACGCCGCCTCGAACGCCTCGACGAGTGGCCCAGCTGCAACCTCGGGCTATCTCGGCTCGATCTCGGCTCGATCTCGGCTCGATCTCGGCTCGATCTCGGCTCGATCTCGCCTCAAGCGACGAGTGGTGCAGCTGCACGCGGTCCGCCAGCTGGTTATGCGCCACCACGGCGCGCGCCTGCTCGATGATGTCCGAGGCGTCGACCCCGATGGCAAGCCTCGCGCCCGCCCGCGCGGCGAACATGGAGAGGATGCCTGTCATGATTCACGAGCCAACTCATAATGACAGGCTGCGCTCTCTCGATTCCCAATGAGCATGGAGGGGACGCCGGAGCCGCAGCCGACGTCGAGCACGACCTTGCCCTGCAGCAAGCCACCGTTGCTCTCGATGGCGTGCCGGTAGCCGTCGGTGCGGACGGCGTCCGAGAGCATCTCCTCGTGGATGGCCAGCCGCGAATACGAAGCAAAGTACGACGCATCGCTCTCCAGAGACACGCGCTTCCCCGCTGGCCCGACAGGGCAGCCTCCCCGGGCGCCTCCGCACTCTGTCTGCGCCGCGTCCTCCGCCGCCGCGCCGTGCCCGGTCGCCCCGCCGCCGCTCGGGCCGCTCCTCGGCCCCGCGCTTGCGCTGATCGCCTGTGCGCTCAAGGCTGTGTGTCCAGCGCAGCTGGCGGAGTCTTGTGCTGTGTTATGTGTCTGTGTGTCTCTGTCTCTGTGTGTCTGTGTCTGTGTCTCGCTGTGTGTGTCAGTGTGTCCATGTGTGACCGTCTCCTCCGTCGTGCGTCCACGCATATACCCCATCGGCGCCCCAGTCGCTGCCCAGACTGTGCTTCGCCTCGCTATCTCCCTATCCATCGCCTCGGCGGTGCCATCCTTGTCCGTGCCGTTGGGGGCGCTTGCGGCCGCGCACGCTTGCTGCTCGTCGCGCAGCACGCCACTGAGCACGTCCGCCATCTGCGCGTGCATCGCTCGCACCTCCGCCACCGCCTCCGCCATCGCGGCGGAGCCCAGCCCCTCCTCCGCCTCCGCCGCCTCCTCCTCCTCGCCGCCGTCGTCCGCCATCGCCGCCAGCGAGTAGAGCAGCGGGTCGTCGGGCAGCACGGGCGCGAGGTAGGCGTCGTCCCGCCACGGCCACTCGCCCTCCGCCCCCCCCGCCGCGGACACCACCGCCGCCACAACCGCAGCGCCGTCTGCGGCCGACTTCTTCGCTACGCAGAAGCGGACGTAGTTGACGAGCTGGACGCAGCCCACCATGCTGAGCCGCAGCGAGCGAGCGATCTGCGCGCGAGGGGGGGACACCGGTCGCCGTTGCGACGGGACGTTTTGCTCGGCGCCAGGCTGGCGCGCCTTCATCAGGTCGAGGCCGTGTGTGGTGGCGGCGGCGGCGAGGCACTCGGCGACCGAGTCGTAGATTGTGTCAGTGAAGAGGCACTTGGTCGGAGCCGGCTCGTCTTCGCCCCAGTCCTCGAAGTCGGGCTCGAGCTCGTCGTCCGAGGCGGACATCACGTGGCTTGGGAGCGCGGCGGTCGCCAACCGGGGCGGCAGGCGGGCCGCGGCGCCAGGCCGATGAGGCGGAGGGGCCGCGTGCCGCCCTGGCGAGTAGAGGCACACGCGCTCTCCCCGAGGTCTCTGGAGCAGAGCCCCGGCGAGCCCTCGAAAGAGCTACCCAATGGGTCCTCGGAGAGGGTGAGAGAGAGAGAGAGAGAGAGAGAGAGAGAGAGAGAGACTGACGCGGCGGGCGGCGTCGCGGGCGGCAGCGGTGGCGGCTCGCGGGTGGAGGTGGAGGCTGGAGGCTGTGGTGGGTCTTTGAGTTTATTTCATGATGGACTACGAGGAGTGGGGGTCAACCGGGAGGCAGGGGGTTCAACCAGGCGACGGCGGACCGTGGGCCATCGCGGGGACTGCTGCGTACGGAGGGCGCAGCAGGCAGATCCGGATGGTCTTCACACCGGTGGGAGGCACCGAGGCGTCTTGGACGCTCAGCTCTACCTTTGCTCCTGAGGGGCGCGTGGTTCTAACCACGTAGTATGACTACAACCCACCACAGACACCCTCCCTGCTCCACATGTGTTCACACACCCTCACCCTCTCCCCTCTCCTCTCTCTGTCTCTCTCCTCTCCTCTCCTTGTCTGTGCTGTCTGCCTGACTCAGGCACTCAATCTGCCGATGCGTGATTGTGTGTGGGCTGCTCCGAGGGGGCCCTCTGTGCGATCCGACGGGTAGGGGGGCTGTGCCCGGGCGGTGTCCGGTGTGGAGTCCCCTTCTGATCCCGCCTGGGATGTTGGGTGTGAGGTTGTGGCGGCTTCGATCCCAAGGGGGGGAGCTGATCCCACTCAATAACCAACTCTCAGGGGCAGTAGGTGGGCGAGCTTCAGGCACGCTCATCTCGATCGTCAAGACGTTGCTACGCGCGGTCTTCCGCGGGGGGAGCTGCGTCGACGGGTGCGGGACCGCGGCGCAGCCAGTGCCGCGGCGAGGCCTCCGGCTGTTTGCGGCGGGCGGCTTGCTGCTCGCTGCGATGGCGAAAAACTCGTCTCGCCACACGCCAAGGGCTTATGCTCTGGCGAGACGTGAGGCGCATGCGCCCAGGAGGGGAGGGGGCATGTGTAACGACACTGCTAGAGATGCCTTTCGGGGCCCAGAGATAAAACTTCTGTGATGCCATGCGTGACCTAGTAGTGTCCCCAGCTATGGGCGTGTCCACGTTGGAGCCAGGTGTGGTGTGGGCGCGAGAATAGCTCCGCCGTTCATGGAGGCAACCGATGCGAGTCGACTGGTGTGTGTCGTCGTGGGTTCGTATCAAGAATTCTCTCTCTCTCTCTCTCTCGGAGAGGGTACCCTGGGTGGGCGGGGCCTCTACTCGCCAGCGTGCCGCCCGCGGTCTACAACGCGTAAAGAAAAAATGGAGCTCGGCTAGGGTTGCGCAGCGACAGGAGCGAGCGAGTTCGCGCTGCGCTAGGCTCAGACAGACGGCGAGTTCGCGCTGCGCTAGGCTCAGTACGGCGAGTTCGCGCTGTGCGGCCTGGCTGCACCGCTCTAGCAAGAGACTCTAGGCTCTCCTCTTGCGAAGATTTTATCTGAGATCTCGACGGCTGCGTTGGCTCGCCAAGAATGGAAATCCACCTACCTGGCGACTCACCTCGTGCTATGGTCACCGGGAATGGGCAGCTGCGCCACGCTCTTCGAGAGCGATCGGCGGCGGCGGCTCGTTTTCCGCACGCGTACGGCGGCCTGCTGCCGGCGCGGCCGGCACTTCGGGAATTTATTTTGAGTACTTGTGTAACTCGTGACGCTTGTGGGGCTGGTATGCTGTTTTCCGGGGGCGTTCGGGGCGGCGGAGTATTTTTTTGTGCGCGCGGGCGGCCAGGGGCGGCCCCTGGGGACCAAATGGCCGATTTTTTACAATCGAACACACCCGGGATAGCAGCCAATCCACCCCATACTGGACGAGGAAGAAAATCCACAATAAATGCGGGAGGTAGACCAAGACCACCAGTGCTAAGAGTCTTGTTGTTCTCGATGGCTGCTCGATGGCGCTGACTTGGGAGTGTGTGTTTTCGTAGAGAAGGAAACACGCACGTCGTCCGGGTTCTGTCGAGCGTGCGGGCCGCCGGGCGGTTAGGGCGGAGGCCAGGGCGCCAGGCTTGCGAGAGGGCGAGAGCTAGTGCGAGAGTTAGCCCCTAAACGGCTACCGAAACGGGGTACCCGGAAGGGCGATATCACGGCGGCCTAACTGTGCCTCCGTGCGCTCGCCACATACCCCCTGCTGCCCGAGGGTCGTGTTAGCACTTTATTGGGCACATACAGAGGCGGTGGGAAGCCACCACGTTCCCTTCAAATTTCCCGCCACCGAGCTCCGGACACCGGAGCGCGCTCTGCAGACTGCACGAGCTCCTGGAGGACGCGGTTTCGTCTTTCGATCCCAGACGGTCGTCGCACGTCGGCGCCCCAGTGAGGTCCGCCGTCATAGGTGTAGCACGCTACTAGACACACTGCCTCCAAGTTGAGCGGTGGAAAATTGTGACGAAGCCACGCACCGAAGCGCCGGCGTCCCTCTGGCAATCTGCCACCGACAGCAACACACGCCTTTGATCACCGGCTGCTTGCGCTCCGCATACTCTCCAGAAGCTGTTGGTTGTGTGGCTGGTGCTACTTCTATCAGCCTTCCTCATGCACAATGTTGCCGTTGAGCTACGAGGCTGCAACCCGTCGTCATTTGAGTTTGCTGCCAGCCACACACAGCGCGTCCCTGCTGCACGAATGGGGTTGGACAGGTGTGAACAACACCTCGTGGGGGCGGCACCGCAGGCGTCCATTGAGGGGTCCAGGTGATAGCCCTGGGCGGGCAATCCATACGCCTAGTTGGACTTCAGATCGCCCGATCGCGTCCCGGTGAACTGACGTCGGATTTGTGACGCCGCCGCACCGCGCCGCGGCCAGGGGCCCTGGAGGCTGAGGATGGCCGTGGCGGACCGAAACGAGCTCTGGGAGGTAAAGTGTCAGTGTACGCGCCAGCAGAAGGGGCTCCTGGCGCGCCGCCTCGGTCGACCCCCTTGCCCCTGCATTCCACCAACGACGCCGTCGCTGTCCTCGCCGACGTGACCGTGAGGCCAGCCCATCGCCATTGGATGCAGCCGAGATGCAAAATCCTAGTGCCTGATCCCCCCGAGAGACCCCCCCTGGACGCGTCCACCCTCCGTCCAATCGAGCCGTCCCCTAAAATACATACATATATTGTAGAGGCTGACCACGTGCACAATATCTCTCAGTCTAGCTAAGCCAGGGGAGGCTATTCTGGGCGTCCACACGGCTTGCACAGGTGACCCTCGCGACAAAGCGAGCGCGTCCGGCAGAGCGACTGAAGAATGGAAGACAGAGTCACAAATCCCGCTTGTTGTGCATGTTTTGAGGTCGGACACTGCTGCTGTCTTCTCCACGCAGCAGCCGACGCCACCAGGCCTCGGTAGCTGAGCAGCAGGAGCCTCCTCGCTGCTGGCAGAGTTGCGCCTCTGTTTGCCGCCGCTAAGAGATCGTTGTTGCGGGAACCTCCAGGGAATCTAAAGGAATCTAGAATCTGTGGGTCCGAGATTCGATCTGGGACCTGAGCCGCTCGGGACCAGCCGTCCTGCAAAGGAATAAAATAACGGAGCGTTCCTTGCCGTACGGCAAGGAAACGGCAAGGAACGCCGTTTAGGGGTTAAACACACGACACACACACGACACGACAGGGACACAGACACATCCACACACACACACACACACACACACACACACACACACACACACACACACACACACACACACACACACACACACACACACACACACACACATCCACACACACACACACACACACACACACACACACACGCACACACACTGCGCTCCCCTCAGCTCCCGCGCGGGCAGGGAGACGCGAGCCCGACGCAGTCCGGTGGTGGGGGCCCACGCAGCCAGCCCCTGCGTTGCAAAGGTTGGTGCTGAGCCGCCGCCGCCGCTCGCTCTCGAAAAGCGTCGCGCTGCTGCCCGTTCCCGGAGCGACGAGCGCGAGTTTGGTGGCCAGGGCCTCGCCTGAAGGGGGGGCGGGGCAGGGGGGAGAAGATGAGGACGTCACCGAGCGGGGGCTGCCGGGAAGGTGGCGGGTGGGGGTGGATGCACCTCAAACACGAGCGAGTAGCGGGAGACCGTCGATACTCCGGCGGAAGAGTGCTCCCCCGCCGCCCCCTGGGTCACCCCGAGTGACCTCGCAGCCCACGCCGTGAGGCGCTGCTGTCAGGGGAATGTTGGGGGCGTGCAAAGCCGCTCGGAAGAGACGGCCAGGAGCCAAGGAGCGGCCGGAGCGCGGCGAAAGACCGACGGGTAGTGGCCGCCGCATGCAGCCTCCGCGGAGGCTGCATGCGGCGGCCGCATCCTGGCGCTGCGCGCGACCGGCCCCTCTCGGTGTGCTCTGCGGAACGGCCTCGCTCGAACGCGCGCCTGCCGGGTCGGGGCGGTCACGGGACCGGCGAATGCGGCCGCAGCTGCTTGGGGGGGTGAGGATGGCCGGGCTTGAACGGCTTCTCGCGAGGTACCCGCATCCCGACGCAGCGATTTCGGCAGTCCCCCTTGCCGAGCGCAGATGAGGCGAAAGCTTAAATTTCTTTTTTACTCGCTC